TTAACGACAGGGCAAATTCAACCGGCATGACGTGCACACACATCGAGCAGATAAAGAGGAGGATGGGACGATGCGTGGAGTGAGCTCGAAATGAATTTTTCAGCGCAGTGAGATGTTCTATTTGAATAAATCATGACACTTAAGATAGACATGAGGGCAGTATAGAGGTGCCCACCACTACTTTGAGGAGTAGCACTCCAAAGGAATGAAGTGCGTGTGCGTGTTTGGGAACGAGACAGAGAAAAATGGCCTCTCTTTGTCCATTTACTTCAAAGTTTTTGTGTTCAGCATTATTTTTTTTACATATTTAGTTAAATATTTTCTCTTTTTAGTCAAGTCACATCACTTTATCTTGCACCGGGTGTTTCTGTCACTGTCTATCTAAAGTGGGCCATTGCAGACTATTACAGGCTGGTGTCCGAGACTGAGGGCCAGGCCCAGAGACAGACCTGGTTCTGGATTATTAATGTCCCCCCAACCCCGTGGAGCCAGGCCGCCTCCTCCACCCAGTGCCACCCCCCCTTCCTCTGCACTACACCCCTGGGGTCAGCCTGCATGGCTCCTGGTGCAAGGCCCCCCTCATAAATCTCCCTAAATTAGTGTGTGTATGTGTGCACGCGCGTGCGTGTGTGTGCCTCCATGCTTAAACATATACTGCAGGCAGGGAGACAGGTCACCACAAAAACAAGCCAGTCAGGCTCTCGGTTGAAGTGTCAGTGATGCATGGCGGAAAGAGTGCAAGAAAGAGTTGCAGAGGAAAGAAAGAAAATGAGAAATGAAACACGAGGGGAGGAAAAGAAAATATACAAAACAGGAGTTGAAGAAGATATTTGATTCCGTGAGAGCGCCGGACTTCGCTTTTAGTTTGGTCGCCTATTTATTGCTCCTTTAATATTTTTTTCTTGTTTTTTTGTGCTGTAACATTATATTTGCTTACAAATATTTACACTTAATTTGAATCTGCCTCTGACTTCATTAGGATTGATTTCCTGAGCAAATCTTAATGCTTAATTGCTGAAGTGCAGGAACTTCCATCCTTCTACCTGCCTAGATTAGTTCAACATGTCCCACGGTGGTAACAGGCATGGGGAAGTGCTGTTGTGTCACTTAGTTAACCCCGGAGACAAATGGCTCCCCTCCGGAGCACAGTGAATTACACACCTCATGAAGCATATTAGGAGCCAGACACAGGGGCTTTTCTTCTGGAGATGATCTGTACAGCAGAAATGGATGGAGGGAGAGGAGAGGGCTGAGTTATGGTATCACCCGCAGCCATTTTTACAGCGCATCAGCATCAGAACAAAACAGAGAGAGAGAGCGAGAGAGCAGCATGAGGAGGGGCGAGGGAGAAAGAAATGGCAGAGAGATGTCCAACAAAAGGTGGAAAAGATAAATAAACCAAAGCTGCGGAGGAAGATAAAAAACCCAGAGTTCCAAAGTTATCTGTGTTAGATTTGACAAGGAAAACAACTCTTTACCTCATTTGTGGCTAATGTGGCAAAATTATTAGAAAATATAACAGCATTGTCCCTCGGAGGCTTCATTGCTGTTAGCTAATCACTTAGACAATCTTTATCACCACAGTAATAATATTTAGATGCTACAGGGATTACTTAAAAGTTGTGTTATAATTGCTTTTCCTTGTTTTGTTTTTTATGGGCAGAGGGTGAGTTTGTGTTTAATTGCTCCAAAGTGACAAATAATGCCCCTTATGATATGATGAAAGTGTGAGATCATTAAATTACTACGCCGACTGGCTGCGTGTGTTTATTCGTTCAGGGTTTTTTTTTTTCTGCTTTTACAAATTTATGCCATGAGGCTTCAAGAGGCCAAGCAGTTATTTTCACAAATTCACTTCCACAGCCATTTCTAGATTTGGAGGGGGGGTAATTACGTGAAAGCAAAATGGTTTTATTTCATTTAATCCAGCCGGCGCAGCAATTTGCACTGGTAATATTTGTAGCTGTGGAGTCTGCACAGTAAAACAGCTGAAAACCACAAGAGTTTCAAATACAAACAAGGTAGAGGGAGGCTGTAATCGAAGCACGACCGTGCGCGGGAGACAAGGGTGCGTGTAAAGCAACTGAAAATTGATGTCTTCAGAGAAGATGCTGTTTTATTTTTACATTTACTATGTGTAAGACTTAAAAAACATCATATGCTGGCCTGAGGAATATAAATACAGAAGTAAGGAGGCAAAATCCCCAAACACACACACAAATAAGTTGTCAGGTTATCCAAGTGCTTTTCGGCGTTCAGCTTATTCGTTTCATTATTTTCTATAAATCTTATACAACTACATTCCCCTACGTCTCCCTATAGTAAAAAAAAGTAAAGAATTAAAGATACTGACTTTGGTAGGACTGACTCTGTAGGTCCTGAGCCTGATAAGATGTAATGTGACCATGATTATTTTGCTTGGTGTTCCCATTTTCTTGGACCAAACTACTCTCACACGCCGCCATGTGCATGGAGAGAGTGAGAAGCAACAATTGTTAAACATCAAATGGGTCCCCTATTGATCAAAAGCAAAGAAAACAGTATAATAGGGAGCTGAATCGAGCAAATGAGAGAATTACAGGCTATCTGTCCATATTTACCGGTCAGCTGTCAATCAGATTATCCATAAATCCGTATGGTAATCTCCTTGCTAATGCATATCCACCCCCCACTCCTACAGCACACACCCACACTCTGTTGATCCATGTAAATGTGTGCCAGTGGTGATTCCAGTCCCCTCGGCTCTCCCTGGGAGACGAGATGGAGCACAGAGGAACCAGCTCGCTGCAGTTTTGTAATGTTTCCACACGGCTGACTCGAGACACCTTAAGTCATGTAAATAATGAATCAGATGATGCGCGGTTGTGGGAGATCCGCATGCTGACATATAGAGCAGCATATGAGGCGTGCTGACTTTCTCTCGCTGTGTTTCAGGAGCAACCCAACCCCCTCCTCCAAACTCTAATATTTAACCCTCTGATTTGGTCACCTCTGACTCGGCTGACCCTAACTTTTCTCCTTCCACTTATCCATCATCTATCTGTCATGAATAGCGGAGCAAGAGGAGGAGGAGGAGGGCAGTTGAAGAAAGCGTAGAATCGATGAATTAAACAGGAGGCGCAGCTAGGAAGGTGGAGTATGTTGGACAAGTGGAGGTAGGCCACAGCTGTCTGTGAGGCTGCTCCCTGACCTCGAGGAGACAAGAAAGTTGGGAGACCCTCAGTCTGTGGGGTCTAACAGCCACTGTAAAAAAAAAAGGGGGGGGGGGGGGACTCCATCTCTCTGCTTCATGAATTATTGAGATATTGGCCTACAGCTTCTAAAATATACAGGAGGGTGGTCTGTCTCTCCTTTCAGATTTCACATACTGTCTACTCGTCTCTCAGTCTATGTTTCTATCAGTTTCTCCTCTCACTTTCTGCCTCCTCTGTTTTTTCCCCTCTTTTTCTCCCATCCCCTTCTCATTTCGATTTGGCCGCTCGAGCCAGCGAGACTGTAAATCAGAGCACAAACAAAGCCAAAGAATAAAACAGAGCATCAGAGAAAGACAGTTTGTTATTGAGAGCATATAAGAGTCTTTTTTTCTTCTTCTTCTTTTGCTTCAAGAGGAGCATCTACCACTAACCAGCTGTCACGCATTTAAAAGTTGTCAGGGATAAATTCACGAGTTCTTGTGTTACATCAGATGCTTATAATGCACACAGCAGTAGGCTGGCTCTTGGAATGAGACATAACTCCAGCTTGTCCATTTATCTTCTTTGCTCCTTTCTCTCTCTCTTTTTTTTTCGTATCCCTAGATGAAGCAATTGTCCAAGGCACGCTGCTACTTACAGTGTTTTTCTTGACATGTTTCTGTATGTGTGTCTGTGTGTGCCCGCAACGTGTGTGTGTGATGCGCTCACTTGTGCATGATTATATCTGAGGCGGTTGGCTCCAAACGCGCTGCCCAGTGCAGAATCCTAGCCATAACAAATGAACAGAGGGGAGAAAATAAGACATATGAAAGAAAAGCTGAGCAAAGGAGTGATTCTCTCACTGGCTGGTCGAGATCTGTATTGTAAGCAGTTTCAGCTGTCAGCACTTCTTTGAGCTACCTCAAAGGGAAGTGGGGGGGGGGATTGGGGGCGGGGGGGATTGGGGGCGGGGGGGGGGGGGGTCGGTGGTGGTGGTGGCGTGTGTTGTAGTTTCATTTTTCCCCTTTTGAGGGTTCCTGTTTATTTGTACACGGCGCTGTTTATTTTCGCGGCTCATTTGATTTTGGTGTTTTTTGTGTGTTTTCGTTGTTGTTGTTGTTTTTTAAGACAGACAGACAGCGCAGAAGGGAGAGTGACGAGACGTACAGTGGTGTAGGTTCAGTTAAAGAAGAAGTTGTCAGGCTTCGAGCCTTGAGGTGGGGCTAGGGAATAAATTGTCAGCCGTCCCCCTTCCTGCTTTTCAGCCCACCCCCACAACTCTCCCCTTTACTCCTCCGACCCTCCCTCTCTCCCCCGTTCTCCTTCCCCTCCCTCCCTCCTTCATTAAGTATTGATGCGGGTAGCCATACTTGCCATCTCAGCCTATTAATAATGCATGGCAGGTGCTGTTGATGTGGTCTCTCACACTGAGATTGAGAGAGGCAGGAATGACAACACTATGCTGCAGAGTAGCTACAGCACAACCTCCGTCACACGGCTGTGCAGCTGTGGGGGTGGGGGGGGGGTTCTGCGTCTGCCCTGGTGAGTTTATGGCAAGCTGTGACAGCAGCTCCAAGAGATGGATATACAAGGTAGCATCTTACTCAATATCCCGGAGCTGTTTTTACATAGAAAAGTGCCTTTGTCATAAACAACTGATGGATGATGGTGGGATAGTGTATGAGCCTTGTCTGCCACTGCTCTTTTATTTGTTTTATTTGTGTTGTGTGTTTTATTGAAGGGAGCTCGCACTGTTTCAGTGACTCACAGGTGCTGTTGCAACAGCTCATTCGGTTCTCTTGCTGTTTGTTTCTCTTGCACGTGCAGGTTCTTCCTCAAGTTCTTCCTGAAGTGTAACCAGAACTGCCTGAAGAATGCAGGGAACCCTCGAGACATGAGGCGTTTTCAGGTGATACATAACTGTCTGAATGCCTAGCTCAGTGTTTATAGTGGACAGGAGTAACACTTCTGTCTGTTTCTTCTTCTTCTTCTTTCTTTTAAGGCTACACACACAACCACAGCAGAATCTCCTTCCCTTCAAAGAATAACAGAAAGAATTCAAAAGATCTCTTTCTAGTAAAAATGTCCAGAAGCCACAGAGCATAAATGTTCGAAAGTTACAAAAGAATTAATAAACAAATGTCCTGAGGACTCAGAGAAAAGCATCACAACAAAAGAACGTTCAGTTCTAAACCCACATATGAAAACGCCACAAACAAAGCTGCAAAATGCCTCATGAAACGATAAGTAGATGTGAACCCGTTAGGAATGATAAACCCAGCTTTCTATTTGAAAGCTCTTCAAAGCATCTTTCTGCTCTTTGCTTTGACAACTCTACAGGTTTGGATGACTCCTACTGCTCTCACAGCTTTGTTTTTGGTGGCAGCCACTGGCTCCTTTAAGGGAAAAAGCTCTGAGAATCCACTGTGCACACACTTCCTGTTCCTTCTGGAAGAAAGGCTCGCCACTGGCAGCCATCTTGGCAACAAATTTGGTGGTTATTTTGAAGCCCCTCTCTAAGTGAATGAGGAAATAGCAATAACTTTAATTGCAAAGGGACATAAGTGTTGCATGTGTAGAATCACCAGTGAATCAGAATCGATTTTTAAAAGTTTTCCTAACAAGTTACACTTTAACTCTTCATGTTATAATAAAAATACAAAATACTTTGCACGTGCATTTGTGCATCTAAACTGGCTAATAGATGTCCAGATGTGAACAACCCCCATATATGTATTCAAGGAATTCTCCTATGAATTTCTATTACGGATCATTGGTGTCATGTGTCCAGTGCAGAGAGCTGCTGGCAAAGGTAGAGAGGTATTTAGCAGCTAAAGAGCACGCCATTTCTCTCAGAGGTTGGTGGAGACCAAACCATAGCTAAAAGGAGAGTGCTCCACATCTACAGGATGTGTAAGTAGGCAAATGTAGGCTATGGTTTGCTAATACATCACCAACACATACTGTGTGTTCCCAGCTATTTTCTTAAGTGACCAAAGTGGGTTTTTTTTTTTACTAAACAAGCACCACAGATATGGTAAAGCAAGCAAAATAATGTCAAATTAACCCCTCTGGGACAACAAATAATAGAAGTAAAACTTAAAAAGTGTAAAACATACTGTTCATAAAAAAAACAAGTCCTAAAAGCCATGAACGTGTGAGACTATACGAATAAATATTATAATGTAAATAGGAGTATTTGTTAAACGTAGGTTAAAGATTATGTAATGTGTGTAAGCGTGTGTGCGTGTGGGTGGGAGTGAATCTCAGGGTACACGTATGTATAGCGCAGGTGACTGGCAGGTCATGTGAAAGTAAGATATTGCTGTCATTCATTAGACAGGAAGGAGCAGTAGGGTCATATAAGTTTATACTTCTTCCTACTCACGTTCAAGCATAAAACTTGACTTACTTATATACAGATGATTAATATATTTGGGTTTTTTAATATTCATACATGTCAGTTGTGCTTTATTCTTTTACATGTTTAAAATAAATGTATATACTTTACAAAAATAGTGATTCATATGTTAAAACCCATTTATTCCTAGAAAATATATCAACCAGTCTTCATGAAGTGTTTGGTAAATTGTAGATATAACAAAAGAAGTATAAACATGTTTACTTCAGTGTGAAAGTAAGTTAATCCACATAGCATTTTGCAAGAACTCCTAATGCTTGTCCGGCGTAATCACGACAGCGTTCAATTACTGAAGATTTGTAAGCAGCCACAACAGGGTGCTGGTTGTTGTTTTTAACACCTTGTTTCTCACTTTCTTTTGGTTTTCCTTTTTCTCAGGTGGTTGTGTCGACTACGGTGAGCGTGGAGGGTCACGTTCTGGCCGTCTCCGACAACATGTTTGTGCACAATAACTCAAAACACGGGCGCCGAGCTCGGAGGCTGGACCCGTCAGAAGGAACGCCATCCTACCTGGAACACGGTATTTAAAGCGAGAACAAAACACCTCGGCTCTCTTCCCCATCTTTCTTTGTCTCCTTCACTTTATTTCTCTCTCTATGACTCCACTCCTCTCCCTCCCTCTCTCAACCCCTTCCCCCCTGTCTGGCTCCACACTCAACCCTTCCTCTGTCTCCCACTCCACTCCCCTCCAACCTCCTTTCTTTCTTATCTCTCTCCTGTTTCCTCCTGGATTCTCACTTTCCTCTCTTGTAGGGTTTCTAACTCGAGCTAAGAGAGGAGTGAGTGGTAGCTAGTGAGTCTCTTGTCTCTCCCTTGTGGCTTGCTCCCCTCAGGTCTCTGCCTCTGGGCCTTCTACTCTGCCTCGCATAAGCACTATGTGTCTTATGAGGTCTGTTCTGCTTAAAGCCAACACTGGCTTTATTTCCTCGGAGACCTGCTTTTATCCTCCAGCCCTCCATCACTCCCCATCCCTCAGGTTTTCAAACACACCCATACACATACTGAAAAGCCCCTTGCACACACATACATACACACCCCCGCATGCACAGTCAAACCCAAACCTTTAATACTTCATAATGACATGTGCACATGATTTAGGAGCCTGCACTGATTCCCAAGTCCCTAATCCAGTTATTTTCTCATTTCGATTTCCCAGACATTGAATAAGAGAAACATATTTTTTTTTCTTTGAGGAAAGTCAACCTCAGGGATGATAATGACAAAAAAATAAGCGGGGATTTACATGATGGCCTATAGTAGATTGCATTAAGATTGAATGTTATGGTTAAGTCTTTCTAATGACTATTCTCCAGAGGCAAGGTGGACCACTTGTCCCTGCGACTGGTCTCACAGATGATTAGAAAAGTTCACAAAGATGAGACATATTGGAGACGTCAGCGAGGCTTGGATCTTGCACATAAAGAAGAGTCCACACAGGACACCAACAGATGTTTCTCGTGTTATAGAGATTTGTTTGGGAATTTCTTCCCCTCTGATTTTCAGTTTTCCCGGTGATGGGAGTTAAAAAGGAGGAACAAGAGGAGTAAAAGGAACAGAACAGGTTACAGGGAGAAATGTAAATGTGATGAAAGAATGGGGGGAAAGTGCCCAACAGTGTAAAGAATAGAGAAATAATTTTTTTCATTAAAAAGAGGACAGTAGTTTCCCATTCCCCCCACCCCCCCACCCCCTTTCTGGTGTGGGTTCAGTTTGTGTGCAGGATGCGCAACTTTGGGGCCCATTTCAGGCGGTAATAGATGAGCAGTGCATAGAGTTGAACAGATGGCACCGAGGAACACCCCAAAGTATAATCCTATCACATGGATTCACGTTCCACCATCTGGTTAATCCACACACACACAGATACACACATAAACACACACATGCACATCGAGCGCACATAATATCAGCGGCTGTGAAAAGGAGGCATCTTAGGCCATGATTACGGCCACAGATTGCTGCTTGGTGAACGCTGATCTCTGCAGGCGTATCGGGGGGCTAAATATCATTCCAGCTTGTTGGGGAGGATCAACAGAACAGGGAGTCAGGCAAAGAGCAAAGGCTAGGCTGCAGGGAAAAAAGTCAGCCTAGTCTAAAGTGGATTATGCCGCTTTACAGAATTACAGCATGTCTGACAAGCTGCATATCTGTTAAGGAGAGGAGATTTAGCTTGTATAAACATGTATTTTCCCAATGCTGTTCTTTTCTTCAATCACACCCAGCAATCATAACACCAAGAGATAAGGTCAAAAAGCACACTGAATGGCAGTTATTGAAAATGCTGTTTATTGTTGTGGTCCCACGTACTTTGTCCCATAAGATGCGAAGAATATGCTTAGAAGGAAAACACTGGGAGCTTAGAAAAACCCATTACAAATGTACCGGGCAGAAGCTGGAAGGAGTCCATGTGGTCGTGCTCTGAGACACTGGCTACTACACAGATATATGAAACAGGCAGCTGAGCAAGAGCTAAGTGTTTGGCTAATGAAGGCAGTGTATTCAGAGGGCAGAGCTACTGTTGGCTCTGCTGTGTTCCCCGGTCGCATGGCCTTTGATCAGACACTGAGCACACCTGACATTTACACGCCCGCACGCTTTGCCACGTGTCATAAAACAAGTGCACCGCCGCTACCCTCACACGCGGGGCAGGGGTGATGTTTAATAACGGGGCGAATATAATCACTCTGATTAGTATTCCTCACTCGCCCCCCGACCCCTGGGAGAGAGGCGATAGGTGATATATGTGTATGTGTGTGCGCATGTGTGTTAAAGAGAGGGAGAGATGGAAAGTAGAGAGGACTATGCATGCTGCCAATAGCAAAAGACCTTCTAGGCTTTCATTAGGATAGCAGTTAATCTGTTATATATATATTTTTTCTTTTTTTTCCAGCAACCCCCAGCATCAAAGCCATCAGCCCTAGTGAAGGCTGGACCACAGGGGGCGCAACAGTCATCATCATCGGGGACAACTTCTTTGACGGCCTACAGGTCATCTTTGGGACAATGCTGGTCTGGAGTGAGGTTAGTCACAATTTAGTCATATTTGTGTTGTTTTGTTTGTTTTATTTTTATTGGCTTGGTACACTTCTTATATAGCCAGTGTGGGCAAACAGTCTTTTAAATGCTTCATTTGGGAACCATTATTTTTACATTAGATTAAATACATAATTGTGATTTAAAAGTGCCAAAAAAAACTTGTAACACTGTAGCATCACACTTTTGATAATGTTGTAATTATTTTATGGACAAATAATATAATCAGATAAACCCTTGTTACCCACACTGCATGAAATCACTATTACTAAACAGAGAGCAACCATCTGCAAATAGCCTTATTTAAATTCCACCAAAACTACATCAAATGTTGAAAATGAGGCATGTTAAGTTGTTTCCAGCATGTGGAAAAGCTGGGCAAATACATAAATAAAAATCACCTGGAGGAAAACATGGATCAGTGTGTGACGCTGTTGTCGGATAAAAACCAGAACCCTTAAAAAACGATTTTCCTTTATTTGAACAGAACAAAGCATATGTCGTTGTTGAGTCATGTTCAGCAGTGCTGATCATCTGAAGTCCTGCATCAAGCGAGAACAGGACAACATTTGGCTTTCACAACTACTCGGTTCCCAAACACTTGCATCGTGTTGTTAAAAGAAAAGGTGATGCAACACATTGGTAAACATGTCCCTATCCCAACTTTTCTAAAACGTGTTGCTGGTGTTAAAAAAATCTAAAATTTGAGATTTTTTTTCAACAAAGCAAAGTAAATCCTTTTAGTTCCAACAAATCATATCACATGTTTATGCAATTCCTACATTATTATAGGGTTTAAATGAATGGGAAAGCACAGCATTCTGTTTTTGTTTGCATTTCACACAAAGTACCAGCATTTTTGGAAATGCTTTTTAATTGAAATCGCAGTCATGATTAATAAATGATACTATAAGAAATAACTGTTTGCAGGGCTATAAATGCATATTAGAAATACTTAACAATCTCAATAGAAGCCTATTGTTGCATTTCTCTCTGTCAGCTCTCACTTCTGTCATATTGCTATTCACCTCTCTTCCTGTCTTTTAATACGTTGCTATCTTCCGTCTTGAAATATATTCACATCGTACAGTATGAATCCCTTTGTAAGGAGCATCTGCTACATGACTAAAATGTAAATGGAGTCTATGTGTGAAATTGAAGGTCAGTGAGCAGCGCAGCTAAACAGCTTTCTCTTTAGTAAAGGAATAATTCTATAAAAAGCTCCTATATTATCTCGCTGAGAGGTGAGTGGGGCCAAACAATGCTAGAATGAAAGCCTAGCTAAGTGAGCAATGAAAAGGACAGCTAGAACAACACACACACACAGATGCACACATACATGCGCACATACACAAAGCGCTGGCAGCAGCAGTGATAGCTTTTGAGCACTGCTAGTTTTGAGTGCTCGTTCACTACAGCGTGCAGGAAACAAGCACTCAGCGAGGTCTCATCTGTGTTTTGTCTTGTTACCGTTTTCCTTCAAAGACCCTTCAGCGTGAACACACGTGCGTGGCGAGCGGGCTCATCAGCTGCACTAAGTGAGCCTGTTTAAGACACAATTGTGCTTTAATGTGACTAACGGCAGCTTCAGCTGACAGACGCGGAGACAGGGGCAGGCGCATTATACATTAACTCGCATTGTTCAATAGGCGTACGCAGAGGAAAAGTGTGTTTTATTCATAAACAGATAACTGCTTTTGAACCCCTCTTACAGAGTCCATGTCAGCACCGATAACCATCCCAAGCCTCACAGTGACATTGCCTTAGGCTACGAGGCCACCTGAGGGCTCGTAGCCAAGCGCATCATTTTCAGGCCGATTATACAAAGAAAAAAAGTCAAAGCTGCAGAGGAAAGGTCCGAGATGAGCCGAGAATACCCCCACCCCCACCGGTGCACATGTTTAGATATGAAGTATCATCACATTAATCTGCCTGGCCTTTCTACTTTTCCTGTAGCTCATCACCCCCCATGCCATCCGCGTCCAGACTCCACCCAGACACATCCCCGGGGTGGTGGAAGTCACACTCTCCTACAAATCCAAACAGTTCTGCAAAGGCACACCTGGACGCTTCATCTACACAGGTACCTTTACACTAACATTTACCAATCTGCTGGCTTTTCTCCCAGTTTCTCTCAATTCTACATACAACTCATGTAGAAGAAATTGACAGCTATAAGCACATCAAAATCTTCACACGCTGACTTTAAGTTTTATAAAAATCTCACTTTATTGTTATATACATATATATATATATATATATATATATATATATATATATATATATATATATATATCTGTATTCCTAAAGTTTTGTCTTTCAGTTTATAAGCTGTCATTTCTCTGGACGGTTTCTGGTGAAAAATGTGCATGCTAAGCAACTTAAAATTCAATAACAGAACTCAATAATTCAGTGGAAAAAGCCTGCTGATCAGAGGAGGAAAAGCATTTGCCCTCTTTTATGAAGCAGGTGAAGGTCAGGAGGAGGATTAACCTTTTGATTGGTGGGATTATTGAGAATTGACCCTGTCGAAGACGCGATTCAGAAAGGAAGAGGTCCGTGTGGAGTGTGTGATATTTATTTATTTATTTACTTTATTTTTTTGATGGTCAGCACAGGGGCATGAATAGCTCGAGTGTTACATCAGAGCACGCTGGTGCAGAGTGAAAAAGGCGCCGCGAGAAGAGCGGCACAGAGAGAGTGAATGTGAAGCTGTGATTAACCAATGCAAGGCCACAGGTCCTCTGGGAGACTGTGAATCACATAAATCTGTCTGTAATCTCAACCACTGATAGACTTAGGCCGTAAGCCCCGGCTGGAATTACCAACATTTGACAAAATCACAATTGAGAGAAAGCGCGCGTGCGTCACATTGCTAGCATTTCCTGCATCTTGTGTGTTCCTACGCGTCACAGCTATGACTGTGTTTTGTGTTCTTGTGGGGAAGACTGCAATAGGATGCCTGTGTTTGTTTGCACGTAAGTGTGAACATAGTCCAAGTGCACACATGCACGCTGACAAGTAACTGCATTACTAAGACACAGGGCAGATGGGTGGGCAGCCTTTGCCATGCCAGAGCTGTCCAACAGCCCACACTCTGCCAAACCCATAGAGCTATGCGTGTGTGTGTTTGTATAAGTGTGTGTAGGTGTGCATATGTGTATACGCAGCCTTTTAATGTGCCAGACATGTGGCAACCGCATGCATAAACGCCCTATCGCTTCCTAGTCCTCCAATCTTTCACCTTGTCACATTCACTTATTCAAAACTCGGCTTCTTTGAACAAATTCATTCTTTCCCCGCTTTCTGTCCCTCCATGCTCGGCTTCCGTGGAGGCGCATAGAAGAATCTCAACAGGTGAGAGGTAGCAAGAGGTCATCCGCTGGGTGCCGAGCGCATGCGCCACGGTGCCGCGTGCCAAGAGCTGGCGGTGACAGAGTCAAGTGTGTCGAGGCACAGACCCCAGTTCTACTTTTCACACACTTCATTCCAGCCACCCCCGTGGGCAATTGTACGTCTCAAATATAGGTTTTTGTCATTTTACTTTCTCCCAGTGAGGAGGAAACCTGCTCACATTTAGCGGCGGGAAAAAAGAAAAAAAAAGAATGGGAGGATGAGCAGGGCATTTGGAGCAGAAAAGCAATCGATGTGAGTGGAGAGAGAGAGAGGTGGATGAGAAAGAGGAGAGAGGAGAAAGATGGGAGCGAGGGATGGAGGATTACCATGGGCCATGTTGCCCTCCTGGGTCTGTTTGGCACCAGTTTGAGCCCAGTTGCCAGTGGGTACTAATCATGGAGGATTGGCAGCGCTGCGTGGCAGCTGGCAGCCGGCACATACACACACATCAACACATCCCCACACTCACAGACATGCATATACTCCTATATTACATGTGCATGCGCGATCACACACACATGCACGCTCTGAATTACATTGGGGACAGCTGGCATTGCTAATCAACTTCTGCTGAGGAGAGGAAAGCGAGCAGCTCACAGACCTAATTAAGTCAACACATACCCGATACTGCTGCTACTGCTGCTTTGCAAACATACCCGACACACACACACAAACCTACCCACATAGCCCTACCTATAGGTTTATCCCCTCCGCCCTTCTCTGCATCATTATCGATACTCTAGAACCAGCCACCACCAAAATGAAAAAAAAAGAAGAGACGAGAACTTTTGGTGCAGAGAAAATTCGAAGAGAAGCTATTACAGTAATGTGTCCTCTGCCGTCTCTGAGGACTCCTGTGCCATTAGACTTCAGAAAGCTCCAATTAGACTCATCAAAGGCAATTAAGCTATCCACTGATAAGAATAGAAGAATGTTTTTTTTAATTCCCTGCTCTTCCTCTGTCTTTTTATCCCCGTATCCCCCTTCTGTTCCTCTCTCTGCCCTCTGCCTTACCCACCTTTGGGGCTGAGAGCTTTCCCTAATCTCCCTCACTTTCCTCTGCTCTCTCTCCCTCTCTCTCATTATCAGGTCAACCCCCCCACCCCCCCTGTACAAATGCATCTCCATGTTTGGTTGTGTATCACCTTTTACTAGATTGCTGTCTTTGTAACATTCATCAAGGAAGCTCTCTCTTTTCTTTTTGCCATGCAACATAAAATGATAATACCCAACCAGTGCGGCCTATGTGTGTGTACCTGTACTCATGTACTCATGTGTGTGTGTTTGTGCGACACAAGGATGCCGGCCATAGATTGGGGGAGTTGATGAATCACCCTTGTCGTTCAAAAGGCAATCCCTCCCTCCTCAGTATGCAGCCTTGTCTGCTTAGTGCTTCCACTACAGCTTCTGCTGATATTAAAAGGCTCTGCTGGCTCACATTAAGGCTGGCACCGCGCACGGTGACACGCATCCGCGCACGCACAAACATTAGGGGTAGTTTTTCAGCGCTCAGTGCAGATTAGGTGTGTAGGAAACATCACTCAGTTGCGGCAAAGAGGCGCGGGAACAGTGAGGGGGGGAGAAAAGACAAAAGTCAAGAGCAGAATTTAAACCAGCTGCTGCTGACATCTCTCTCCGTCTCTGCACGCCTGCCTGTGTGTTCCAAATTAGTTTTAGGACTGTCAGTTGTCTCTCATTTTATACAGTGCAGACACTGTATTGTAAAAGTGTGACACAGGTAAGTGCTGCAAACAAGAGTCTGCAGTTTAAAGTTAGTGCTAGCTCTAATTAAACTGTCCCGAACTGTGGTGAAATCTGCTGGTGATGCACACTGAGAAGCACTGCTTTAATTACAAATCACCAGAGTGCTTTAAATTCCTAAGTATATGTGATCCTGGTTGTGTTGATATCATAATTTTGGAGACGCGTGCATGATAATCAGCGGGAAAATCTCCCGCACATGTTGCTGCATAAACAAACTTAACATTAACATAGACAGACGTAGTCTACATTCATATACACACGTGGATCGCCGCGCGCATGAGCACGTTCGCACATCACACAGATGCACGAATGTGGCACGAAGTCATCTGGCAATAAAAGTGGGGTGCAGCCACGAGCTGGTCAATTACTTGTCTTGCTCCTGTTTGTGAATGCTGTCTTTTATTGAGCCTGGGCGGGATGCCTGCTGTTGATTAAAACGGCTGGTCTACAGCTGGAGACAAGGCCAGCTGAGATAGCTGCATACATTCCCGTTTACGGCACGCAGTCTTAACTGCGAGGAAATTCACACCTCTATTTGAGATTGAGATTAATTTTCTGCACCATGTGGCTTGTCTTGCCTCTTTAGCATGCTCCGTTCTTATTACGGGAGCATCTGCTCCATGATGATGATGTAAATGAATTTCGAATGTAGATTATTTTGTTCCCCGCCGAAATGAGCGGCGCTCACCGGAGGAAATGATTTCTCGTGTTTTCTTATATCTTAATTCAAGCGCACACTTTTCATCTGGATTTTTCAGAATTTGCATTCTCCCAGCGAGAAGCCATGCTGTCAGGTATTGTTAACTGTCGACATGCACTTCTTTTTTTTTTTTGCAACAGATAATTAGAGCTTAGGTTGTAGTAGTATCCACACCTCCATTGATTTGTAGAATCTCTCTGCACACACACACACCCAAACACACACACACATTCTTTCCCTCCTTCCAGCCCTCTCTCAGGCTCAGCCTCTCCTCTCCTTTAGGAGCAAAAAGCTCTACTCATCTGTTTTCTGTGTATGAATTTCCAGCCATGCATTAGTCTCCCTGACATGTTCAAGCGTTGCTTTATTTAGCTTGTCGGATTCTGCAAATAAACGCAATCTCAGGGTTTATGGAAAAATGGATAAAAATTAGATTGTAAGGTATTGATCTGGATTGTGAGTAGTTGGTGGGGGTGCTGTGCGTGTATGTGTGAGAGAGGTGGTGTTGGAGGTGGGGGGACGGGGAGCTCTCATGTGTGTGTGTGTGTGTGTGTGTGTGTGTGTGAAGAGGGTGGGGCGTGGTGGGGGTGAGCAGAAATGAAGCCGTAATTCAGGGCTATTGAACCCCCTGCCACTGGCGGCATCGATCGCCAGGCAGCGGTTATGAGATCACACCTGAGCACTGGAGACTGCAGAGGGGAGGGAAGGACGGGGGGGAGCTGTGCGGGCAGGGGTGGGGGGAGACGAGGGAAGGGGGAGACGAAGGAGTAAGGAGCGAGGAGGAGAGAGAGAGAAACAGAAGGTTGTGATATGATCAGCTCCTTACCCGCTGTCTGAGGGCCTGTTAAGGTGTTAACATCAAGCCTCAGAGCCAATTACCTAACCCTGCAAGTACACTACCCACTCACCTCCTCACACTCACAGTGTTGTGACACAGAAGGAGAAGAAGACAGGGCAACTGGACGCTGGCTGTTGTTCTCCCCTCCTCCTGCTCTGTGTTTCCAGGACAACTCCACTCTTCTGACCTCTCAATTATCCCTGATCCCCCCCCCCCCCTCCCCACTCGACCTTCTACTCTTTGCACCCCAAACATCCATCCGAAACCCCCACCCACCCACCCCTTCGTACACACTCCCCCTGCGGCTCTGTGGGTTATTATAGTGAAATATGAAGCGATGTGGATTCTAGGCTTCATGAAATTTCCATGAGCATTGATCTGATCTGATGTGGGTGATTGCTAGGTGAATCCCTCCAGTCCAGAGCTGTTGCTCATCTATTCATTTATTTATGGCAGTTATGTTTTACTGGCTTTGATTTGCTCTTCTGGAGAGCGACAGCTAAGGATTATAAATATACCTGAATAGGAGAGTGTGCTTGGAATCCTGGAGGGCAGCAGCGCACCACTCCTCTTTCCAACTTGGAAAGTTGTTTTTTCTTTTTTTTTCTTCTTCTAGCATTAATTCTTGGTGTAAAATGTGAGATATTGAGCATGGATATAAGGGCATAAAAAAAATAAGACAATCCCCAAAGAGGCACAGGCAGATAGTTAGTGATGTGCGTTGTCCCCCACATACTCGTCTTCTGGTTTATGGTCCTTGAAAACGAGCAGAGACAATATCACTTCCTCTCTCAATTACCAAAATTGTCTCTTTATTTGTAATAGGGATATCTATGTATGTCTTGGGTTTTTATGCTATTGTTCACTCGAGGCTCATTTGGCACATTGTGGGGAACTGATAAAAAATTCATCATAAAAACAAAAGCCTCTGAGACGAAAGAGAGGATGTTGTCGGAACAATCCCTTCCTCAGACTGAAGGCCTAATCCAGGGCAAATCCTCCTTAAAGCTTTAGAGAGATCAGAGAATAGGGAAGTAATGTCAAATATTTGTCCTCGGAAATAATTCATACTTTATTTGTTGCATGTGATCGCCTCATTGTTTTGGCTTATTTTATCAGCAAACCAGCTGGCCCTGTAATGTGTGTCATTCTCTGTAAGCTGAGCCAGCCTCTGGCATCTCTACTTCGACTTTTCCATCTCTTTGCTGTCTTTGCTTCTAGCTATTCACCTTTCCTTTCATTCACTCTTATGGATCGCTGGAACACTCCACTGGGAGAGCTGTCCAAATACATTTGTGTTGCCAAAACAGAGCATCACCCATTCTCGCTCCCGCACGCTGTTTTTTTCGGTCCGTGTGTTTGAGCGGGTGGGCTCAGGAGGAGCCGTGGTGAAGTCACTGGAGGTCCAGCAGGACAGCTTGTACTCATAGCCTCTAGGGGCCTTTTTTCTGGGGGCCGCCTAGTCAGCCTGGCTGCTCAGATGTGAGGCGAGCAGGGCATCAGCCCCCAGGAAACGTCCAAGCTGCGACCCACAGGGGAAACAGACGGACGGCACAGACGCATACAGGCGATTCTCACGTGTAATGGCGCCTTTTCTTTTTCTTCCATACAAGCGCACATTTACTGTTTCAAACTCTGTCCGGAAGCAGCGTCTTAAAGGCTGTAGCGCAGGAAAGTTGTCAAGACTGTGCTCTGACTCCCCGAGGCAGCCCGCAAAGACAGGAGAGGGAGAGACAGTACATTAGGAATGAATTATGTGGAGAGAGCACTTATCCAACAATCCTCCTCTGAAGTGTTTGTACTATAAGCCTCAGATCTTCATTGTATTTATTCTAATGTTTAAATATTCATGGTAAACCTTCTCATATTCAATTACCGAAGCACGACCACAGCATGCAGAGAGTGCTTTCTCCCTGCTGCCTGGATGATCTGACTGTGTGTGTGTGTGTGTGTGTGTGTGTGTGTGTGTGTGTGTGTGTGTGTGTGTGTGTGTGTGTGTGTGTGTGTGTGTGTGCGTGTGTGTGTGTGTGTGTGTTTAGCTTGTTCCCTGGAGCGATCAAGCCTTTGTTATATTGGAACCAAGCTCTGTAATTGCTTATATTAGTCGCTGATCAACGCAAGACCACAGGACACACACACACATTCACTTTCCCTGATTCCTGACAGTCTTTTTATTAACCACCAAAGCGGGCGACAGAGAGAGATTCATTACATCACAGGCAAACAAAGACACACACCAGACCTAATAGAGAAAACCCACATTTTTCAGCTTAATGTTGAAATATTCATGGATTCAGTTATGTCTGCTGTCACTTGCTTCTCCCGCCGTACCTTCTCTGGTGCTTTTGAACATTAGGTGTTTTCATCATTAAGGATCAAGCTGTAAATGTTTTTTTTCTCTCTCTGCCTGCTTCCCTCCACTTCCTGCTCAGCGCTGAACGAGCCAACCATAGACTACGGCTTCCAGAGGTTACAGAAGGTCATTCCCAGACACCCTGGAGATCAAGAGAGATTACCTAAGGTACAGTGCCTCTGCTCCTCTCATGTGTCTGCTCACACTAGTTGCCAAGCACAATAAATTCACAAGAATCTGTCTTGGTAACACTGGTACAAAGATGTATTGAAAACCTCTTGAGTTTCATAGTACGTAGGATATACATGGCACAAGGACAGCATGACCTCTTAGACAGAGGAACAAACCATGCGCTATAGACAGTAGGCCATACATGACACTATGCACTATGCACATAAACATTTAACCACATGTTCATGGTCATTTTCTGTTCAAACAAACACTTTATTTGTGCAATGAATGCACAAGCGACTCTATTCATCCTTCCACTGAGTATAAGGTCATTTGGACTGGCAAAGTGGGAAGAGGAAAGGGGATAGATGGAGAGAGGAAAAGAGAGGGAGAGAGAGAGAGAGAGGAAAGGAGGTTGAGGGGAGAGAGAGAGGAAGAGAGAGGCAGAAGCAGGTTAGGTGATCCATCATAGCTGTCCAGTCTTACCTCCTGCTGGGTCAGTGGATCGAAGTCAACCCCGGGTGGACTTTATTACTTCCAACACACACACTTATCCACAATGCAGCACACACACACACACAGAAATGCACACAGACTTCTCTATGCCTTCATGTGCACGCACACACACACTCAGTGGAGGGAAGTCACCACCAGGCAGAGATGGAGAGCACAGGTAGATGCAGAAGGAAGATAGAGAAATCACTTGTCCTCACTGTGTGTCATGTCTGGTGGATACAAGAGTTGTCCCGGTGAGTTCTGGTCTTTAGCCTATCAACCCCCCGTATCTCTCCAAATATCTTTGTATCCATCCATCTCTTTTCCTCTCCTCCTCTTTCTCCCTCGCTTGGCGGTGTCTCTTTCACTTCTAAATGAACAGCGGTAGCTGGCAGGCCTGGTTGTTCATTTCAGCTCTATTGATTTGTGCCTTTATTGAGGTAATAACAGTTTGTTGACCACGCTTCTCTCTCAACTGTTGGCCTCAATCATTAGAGAGGGGCAGGAGAGGGGCATATGCTGGCAACTTCTTGAGCTACAAATGTCCATTCAAAGCTACCTTGGCACAAGCCTCTGTGTGGCTGTTCTTTGGTGGGTCTTTAAACTGACTGGGACTATAATATATTCCAATATATTGGCACTTTGACGAACCCGCCCCACCCCCAATACACATACAGCGTGCAGAGAATAGGCAGGATATATACCAACCCCTGTTCTATCTCTGTATGTTGCGATAATGATCCAGTGATCCAGCTGAAAACAGCCCCATACTGTGCTGTAGAATAGTCAGGCAGTCAGACTGAGCGGGGACTGCTGGGTAGCCAGACTGCAGGGTGTTTAGCTAAGGCTGCGGTGTGGCTGGGGGTCTGGGGCTGGCTAATGAGTGACCGCCCTGCCAGACGAGGCCAGGCTCTGCTCTGGATCAGGTTCCCCTTCCTGTTGACGTCTCTGTGGGCCTGACTTTACGGGAAGAGACCCTGCGCCCAGGAAATGGTCTCCCCTTACAGCAGCAGGGCTAGGGAGGCAGCATGGCACTAACCACATTTATCTGTTTATCAGAATGACTCTGGAGCGCTGCCTAATCGCGTTTAGCTACTGGACAGATCCCTTCGCTAACGAGAGACTGATAGGTACAGACAGGGCACAGGAGCATGAGAGAGTGATTAAAGGGGGGGGGGCAAGTGAAAGTAGTTCGGAGGCTCAGGTGAGGGGAGAGTGAATTATAAATGAGGAGATGCACGCACATAATAGACCTAAGGAGAACGAGCAGAATGGCTGGTGCAGAGAGGGGCAAAAAAAAAATTAAATAAAGAGACTGATGTTGCACGAGTGCTCCCGGAACACCGTTACACTCCAACTGCAGATCTGTTCATGTCCTAATGCCTCGCACTTCCTTCATTTCCCCTCCTCCCCCGCTTTCTTTTCCTCCTCCTCCTCTCTTTTTCCTTCATCCATCCATCTAACTATCTAGCAATCCCTGGGAGGCATGGGGCGTCGAGGAAAAGCAGAGAGAAGGAAGCGAGGAGCAGTGCATACATACTAAAGAACCACTTACCTTCCTAGGGCCTCTACATCTCTCAATCACCTCAAACAGGCCTCCTTTCTGGTCTCCCCTCTTCCCAGCTCTCACCCTCCTCCTCCCCTCGCCTCCTTTTCTGCCTCCCCCAGATAGTGCTAGTAATGGGAGGTTAACACAGAGGCAGCGCTCCCATTATTGAGTGAATTTAGCACCTCGGACAGCGCTCTACAATCTTTATTGCTTTGCTGACCCTCTCGTCATGTCCTGGGCGTGCTCGACAGCCTCCACATGTGCATGGCTGCGTGTGCGGTTACACTCGTGTGTGTTTGCGTGTGTGTGCAATATGAGGTCTGATTGAAAGGCGGCGTGTCACGGAACAGAGAGCACACATGCTCCGGGGCTTGTTCACAGCGAGGGATACACTCAGGAGAGTATAACGCACAGCGTGAGTGTGCGCGAGTGGAAGAGAAAGAAACGAGGAGAAGGTTGGAGGGGAGGGGGCTGCAATTTTCTGGTTGTCGCGCCTCCAGCATATATCCTGGCCCCGGCACATTAACTTTTAAAAAGGGTTTTGTAGGACTGTAGGTGTCGACATCACACACACACACACACACACACACACACACACACACACACACACACACACACACACACACACACACACACACACACACATATATATATAAAGACTGCCTGGAGTCACACACTCATACACTCAGGGAGGAAAAAAGAATAGAGACAGAGAGAGGAGGGAAAGGGTTGTAAGCGGTGGAAAATGAGTGCGGAGAAGCTGCGTTAGGATAAATGTTTGATGTGGGAAATTCCACTCGGCGGTTTTCACCTGAGCAATGATGTTCTACATTTATCACACAAAGTGGATACAGGGCTATTCACTCGGATCATTACCAGGGTTAATACAGGGCAGGAGACGGGTGTGTCCCGGCTGACGAGGAGAGTTGTATAGCCGTCAACCTGATGATATGTTGTGTTAAATGAGATTGATGCGTGATCATGTGCGGCGGGTTCGTGATCCATCAGCGACAGAGGAGAGAGAGAGAGTGAGAAGATGTGGAAGATAGTTGACTGATAGAGAGATATAGGCTCATGTTTTATTCACAGATAACAGTATCTTCCCTCTGCTCTCCCAAACTGCCCAGCTAGTAACAAAGTGCTGGGATGGGCCCATTTCTCTTCCTCTCCCTTCCTCTGTCTACCCCTTTCCTCTCCCTCACACTCTATCTGTTCTGCATTCACAGCATAATGCAAGGAGTGAAATGTAATAAAAGTGACTGAACTCTTTGAGCCGCCACACTTGTGATCAATCCCCCTTCCTCTGTCTGCGCTTGATTGCAGGAGGTGATTTTAAAGAGAGCGGCAGATCTGGTGGAGGCCTTGTACGGGATGCCTCACAATAACCAGGTAAACTCTCTCTTACACACACACACACAGACAAAAACACAAACAGCAATATCTCTTATTAGACATTATTATTTGTTTGTGGTTCGGGCCAAGTGGCAGCATCAAAGGCGCTTGTCTCTGCTGGCGATGTAGCACCCTGCCGTGTTCGCGCAAGATCTGGGACCCACAAACATGCACGCTAGACTATGTTAGAGCTTTTTATCAATGCAGAGGGTGGAGATGAGATTAGAGGGAATGCAGAAGGCAGTTGAAGAGGAGGAGTGGCATTAAGGCTTGAGTCTGAAGGAGGAAGAATGGAAACCCAAAACAGGGAGGAAGAGGCAGGCTAAAGATCTGATGTGTCTGTTTAATGAGCCTTTCCTCCATTTACTGAACCAATCCCACCACTCCCAGCGACAACTGATAAAAACCACTCAGCTCTGCTAGATTTACATGTGCAGTATCTTGAGTGGAGATCTAGCATTCTTATCAGGCTACAAAGCCAACATCAAGGGTATATTTTCCCTCTTCTCTTCTCTTTTCTTCTCTGTTACTGACCACCACTCTTTTTTTTTTTTTTGTTCCTTCCTCATCGTCAGGAGATGATTCTGAAACGAGCAGCGGATATCGCGGAGGCCCTCTATACAACAGTCCCAAGAGGGCACAACCAGCTAGCCAGTCTTGGCAGCAGCTCTGTTCATGCTGGCATGATGGCAGTAAACTCTTTCACCGGGTCAGAGGTGGCACAAACAGCCAATCAGGGTGAGCAAACACACCAGGAAACAATTCTGGCCTATTGTCATGGGAAAAGGAAAAAATGTTTATTTGCTGTTGTCCATTTAGGGATGACAGCAGGGTGGGGGGGGGCAACTGGCATTTTATTTTTCATGTGGGAAATTTAGAGATAGTGATTTAAGAGCATGGAGCAAATAAGAAAGTGTGAAAAAGGAGGACAGGAGGAGGAGAGGTGACAGTAAGAAACGGGGAAAACTTGAAAGAAAGATGGTGAGAGAGTGAAGAATGGAGAAAAAGAAAGCCGTGGATGGAGTACGATGGAGAAATATGAGTGGGTCCTAGGGGTGTGTATATTAGACTGGGGTCGGCCCCTGTCTGACAGAGAGAGATGTGGGTGCAGTCAGTGGTGATTCATCACATGTATCGGGGGAACCAGAGGAGAGTGGATGGACCAGCCTCTGGATGCATCTCAATAATTCCAAGGCGCTTCCTCTGCCCTTCATTTTCATCCGGAAACATTTTTAACCTATCGTTTGTTTCACCCTCATATTAGATGAAAATGTAAACTTAATCAGGGAGGAGCAGAGTGATGAAGAAGTGAGACAATACTTGTGATGAGTAGCCTTTGTTACACTAGAGCAGGGGTGTCAAACATAAAGCCCAGGAGCCAGAATCACCTCAGTAAAATCCGTTTTGACATCCCCACACTAGAGAGTGGAAATTTCAGATGTTCAGTTCCAGCCATTTTTCCCCCACCTATGTTATCATGTTGTATATTGTATAGATATTGTGTAGGCTCACTTTGTGTCTTCAAAGCAGCTCTGACCCATGGGTGCCCTGTAGTGTCTGGTACTGGGATGTTGGCAGTTTGTGATGTGGAGTGATGCATCCGTGTATGAGGGATGTTCCTGAATCCTGTAGAGTTTGAAGGCCGGGTGAACAGATTGGGCACCATTCATGTGCAGGCAGGGCACACCGTCGTGCAGGGCAATGTGCAGGTGGGCGTTACCACGTCACATGAATGGCAGTACCCGAGGCTTCACAGCAAAACACTGCAGTGAAACAATGATTTTCACTTTGCCCGTCAGCGGTTTTAGTGTTGTAGCTGATCAGTGTGTATTTATAGTCTTCCATTTTACATTGTTCTCCTTCTGTTCACTGCCCCTGTAAAGCATGAAAGGTCCTGTCAGAAATACTAGCTTCATTCTTTGTAAATTACAAGAGAGCCGCCAAGGCCTTTTACCGTTAATTGCCTTATCAATATATCTAATTCTGAAGAGGAGCCAGCAGGGTGATAGTCCTCTTGTTTCAGGCGTTGGAGGGGGGGTGCGGCTATATCCCTCTCATATCATTCTTCCTCCACTCTGTTCATTGCTTTTTTTCTCTCCCATATGCTGTCTAAGATTTTTCTAAGAAAAAGCAAAACATTTCTTCTGGCTTGTAATGCTATGTCCATTAGTATGAAAAAAGGAGCATTTGGCAGCAGCTGCATGTAGGCTTTCTTGTTTTGGTATGCCTGCCATCTGCTATACCTCTAACACTCTCCATCCCCCTTTCTTTCTCTGTCTTTAGGTTTCAGTAGGAGTACAAGCAGTGTGTCCCCTCATGGTTATGTCCCCAGCTCTACTCCCCAGCAGAGTAGCTACAGCTCTGTCTCCACTAGCATGAATGGCTACGCTAACTCTGGCATGGCAACCTTGGGCACCTCACCCAACTTCCTCAATGGATCTGCAGGCAACTCGCCCTATGCTAGTGAGTAAATACAGTGCATACTAGAGCTGAAAGTTTGGGTGGGGATCAGCATTTTGTAAATGACAGAAGACATCTCTGAGAGGAACTGAGAAGCACGGCAGGAAACAAGAATCGACACGACAGGAGAAAGTATTTCAGTTCAGCTGGCTCATCTGTTTCTTTAAGAGCAGAGTCAAACACAAATCCCCGCTTTATTGGCCAGGGGAGGAGATCACCTAGCACGTCCCAACACCTCCTCGACACACACGTGCACACACACACACACACACACACACACCACCTCTGCTCACACACACTCACCCTCTACATTAAAGACTCTTGATTAAATCAATAAACTAATTGCTAGAGAAGCAATTCCATTTCAGCTCTTTGATTCCTGGGTGTTAACAAGTATTTTAACAGGCTCATCGGCCCCACACAGACACTTTCAATCAATGGCCCCTCGGCCTGCCTTTGTAGGTCCAATTTTCATTAATTGATTAGTTAGGCCCCTTCATAAATGGATTATGACTTTATTGCAAGGATTTGTCAGGAAGAGCCATAAAAGCTAAGTGTTGGATAATAACAACAATAAAGGCAGAGGCAGATATCACAGGGCAGGTGAAATACGGCTCAGCTGATTGTAAAATCACTGAAGGGGGAAATGCTCTTAGTGTATTAGCAGACAAAAGACAAACCCGAGAGAAGTGGATGGATGGGATGATGTCAGAGGACATGATTTGGATTGTGAAGAGTTGGGTCATTTGGCTGTGTGTGCCTCTCATGAGGGTGAATTACAGTGGCCACAGTAAATCCAGCTAACGGCTATCTTGTACAAAGCTTTTGATTTCATTTCAGAAGCACTGAGAAGCTCTTTTAGATATGAATATGTTCAAAAAGTTTCTCTATCTTGCATTTGAAATCTTCAATCCACCGTTCCAGAGGGGATGTCCCAAAAGTACAAATCCACATCTAGCCCTTAAATTACATGACATATGGTTAACAACTGTTTAGAGTGCTTTTAAGGTGGTGAATGATGCCTAATGTGCAGTTAAAATGCAAAGAGCCAGTGGGCAAGCATATTGCTTATGTATTCTAATTTTTTAAACCTTGTTGGTTAAAACCTCTAGCATAAATATCTGTGATAAAGTAGATGTGTGGGAGCTTTGTTTGTAAGTTGCCCTGAAAACACATTACAGGTTACAGTACCTAAAGTTGCTGAGGAGATGTTTATCATCCCCTGAGCACAGGATGAGTCATCAAAACAGATTGATCAGAAGGGGGGAAAAACGACCTCAGGCCATTTTCAGCATTTTCCAACTAAACACATTTTTGTGTAAGATATGGAAAATCTCTTTGCCAAATAATTGCTTAACAGCACAACAGGTAGCAAAACAAGTCTGAGCCAGTTGATCTGAAAACAACATGTCACCCCTCCTGCCATCATCCATTGACCAGTCCCCTTCTGTTCGTCCCATCTGCCTGTCCTCTGCCCTCGGCCCTCTCTCTAACCCCCTTTCTGCCATCGTCGTCCCTTCCTGTCCTTCTTCCCTGACATACACCTATGACGCCCCTTCCTAAAACACCCTCTCCTGCCCATCTCTCTCTCTTTCCCTCAGTCGTCCCGTCCAGCCCGACGATGGCGTCGTCGACCAGCCTGCCCTCCAACTGCAGCAGCTCCTCTGGCATCTTCTCCTTCTCTCCAGCTAACATGGTGTCTGCAGCCGTCAAGCAGAAGAGCGCATTTGCCCCCGTTGTCCGACCCCAGAATTCCCCTCCTCCCACGTGCACCAGCGCTAATGCTAACAGCCTGCAAGGTAAGCCGCTAAGTAGCCTCACGCTAACTTGCTGATGAATTTGAAATTTGCAGTATGAGCACAGTAAAAAGTTTTAGTAAAAATATTTGCTAGGAATTGTTCACCCTCAAGCTTTAATCCTGCTTTTCCTCACCTCCTATGATAACGTCTCACTTTTACTCCTTCGATTTTCCTTTTTCTTCCTCCACTCCTTTTTTCCCCCCCTTTCTTGGCCCTCCCTCCACTCTCCTTCCTCACCGTAGATCAGTCTTTTGTGGACTCTAGCAAGTACTCATCAGCCAGCTCTCTGCAGGGCCTGGCCTTCTCCTGAAGTATGTTACTCCTCGCTTTCATTTTTCTCTTTCTCTGTTTTGGCTTTCCACTCCACGCTATCCCAGACCGCTCATTTGCACCATCCTGCCCTGCCCTTCCTTCTCGTTTCTGTTTTTATTTGTCACTCTTGACTTGTCAGATAGTCATCATGCTACCCCATATGTGTTATATTTCCTGTTTTCACTTCCTGCTTCCTGCCCGTCCTCTAGTTGGTGCGTCTGCGGGGGGAGGGTGTGAAGGGAGGTCGTTATGCCACCACGGGTCACTCTGTTCTCTCATTTCCATCGAATGCGGCACGGGGTCTGTTCGTCTGGGCAGGATGTTGTATGGTGCTGAGATCCTGAGAGAGAGAAATGATGGATGGGAATCTTTATCAGAGCCCCAAGCTAAGCACTTCCTCACTTCCTTCGTCGGCGTTGATGAGCTCTGACCACTGTGACCTAAGGGCCAATGGCCACTATGCTCTGATCACACTGACACGCGCACACACACACACACACACACACACACATGCACACACCATTCTGTTAATCCCAACAAGTGGGAGACACTTAGGAAATAACCTGGGAATTAGTGGATTGAAGAGTGGGGGGAAATCAATAAGGAGCCAATATGTTATATGAAAAATTTATATCTGTGATGGTTTCTGTGTAAGAAAAAAAAACAGGATAGAGGGAAGGAGTGATGGGGGGAGGTGGCTTGTGGGGAGGCGGAGGTGCAATAGTTGGTGCTATACGGAGGTAAAGATGTGAGTATATCTCATGGATTTCATTTCCATGTTTGAGCCTAATTTTCATCACCTCTGTCATTCCACATCAGTTCATACTCTCCCCACCCTCTCGTTTGAGTCATTCTCCATAATGCACATAATAGGCTTGCACCATGTAGCTGTTAACAATTAACAGCGGCAGCTCTTGCATGAAGCTGTTTAGGAGGCCTGTGAGAAGCTGAACAATGTTGTCGATGCGCGGCCAAGTCAGCGGCAGCGGCGGAGGGAAATGTTTTGATTCCTGGGGCCTCGGAATGAAGAGATAATGAGGGAGAGTCGTCTTTGTTCGCCAGATGCTGGAGCACATTGCTGTTATGTGACTGTTGTGATGACAGATGAAACCCAGCAATCACATGACTGACCTTTCTCTCTCTTTCTTTACCCCTCAATCTCCCATTCACTCCTTCTACCTCCCCCTCTTTTCCCACAAAGCAGCGATTCCCGGGATGATCGTTCCACCCATGTAGAGGATCTGGGATAGCTGGAGATTTGGGAATGTTGAGAGGAAAAAAAAGACAGTAGCGGAGTCTGGTGAGTCTCTGTTATGCTGCAGAGCTAAAGTGAAGGAAGTCAAGATAAAGACGCAGGACTCTGTTAAACTCAGGCCTTTCCATTGGGATTTCATCTGAAGGCGATAGGAGAGAAAGAAAAAGGGGACAATATGAACCTTTTGTGATGTTATTTCCCTCTTGGTTGAAATAGTGTAGCTTCTCTGACACCATGTTGGATGGAGTGTATAGAGACTGATAGTTTGCCCACAGTGTGACACTGACCTCATGAAAAGAGCATTTATTTATCTTTGTGTTTATGCCTGTAAGGTTTGGGTTTGATTACTGGAGGCCCCCACGCCGCCTTGCAATCCATAACTCGCACAAACAACAGCGAAGTGTTGGTTTGGCCATGAAGTTTACAATAACTTCAGTCACAAACAAAGGAGCTTTCCTTACCGTTTCCGCCTCTCTAAAACCGCAGAGCGACACAGTGGCCAAATGGAGAAGGAAAAAAAAAGTTCAGCAACACAGAAAAAAATAGAAAATCAACCATTGATTTTGCTGCTAATTTTCCAATAAATCTTAAAAATTGTCTAGCAAAACTGCCCCAAGCTGTTTAAACATCACGCCTTGCTTTTATTTTATTTTATTTTTTTAAATCTCTCTCTCTCTCATTTTGGTTGGTTTGTTTGAATTTTAATAAAACTGTGAGGATAGAGCTGTTTGCAATATGCTTTTTCTGCTTGACATGTGAAGACAAGGTGACGATGAGAATTTAGCCAAAACTGACGAGGTTTTTAGTGAAGACTTGAAAAGCCAGAGGATGTGTGTGCGTCCAGCCAGCACTGTAACTGAAGGAGCCTAGCAAATATCAAATTAGAATAAATGCGTGATATATGTGATATATTTTTGTATATATAAAAAAAATGTTCATTTTGGGGTTTTTTTCACTTCTTTACTCTTTTTTTTGCGATAGCTCTAGTTTGAAATGTAAACATTAAATGTCTTAAGGCAGCTTCTCAGTACAGAAGATAGATTTACTGCGTCTTGTCAATATCTCATTTGCTAAACATGAGAAACATGGGTTTGGATACAAAAAGGGGATCCCTGTAAAATACCCTATAAATAATGTATTTATCCCTTGTATTTGTACATTGACTCTCACCCTCGTTTAGTTGTGTTGTGTAAGTTTAATACAGTAAGTGAACACTTTTCGCAGTGTTTCGTTTCATTATTTGCTGTTGTCTCTCACTATTTAAATGTGACTTTTTTTTTAAATCTTTGTTCCTTTTTGTTTTTTGTATGTTGTTTTGCATCAGTATGCCATGCTTCTGTTTGTTGATTCAAAACATGCCATTGTCTATTTTTGTATTATTTGTAAGTTAATAAAAAAATCTTTTTTTTTTCCTTATGAAAATGTTTATTGTACGGCAAAAAAAGTAGCATCCTATTCAGAGTATTTCGTTGAAGTAGATTTTTTAAGAATATAAACACACATTAATATATACTGTAAATCTATATCTTTTTGTTTGAACTCTGAGGCTTTCAGATTGATACTGTTCTTGAACTGATAATATGCATGGGTTCTTCTCTTGAGTGACTCTTTCTTTATGTGTGTGGAAAACCAAGAGAACAAACAAATTGCTCTGTTTTTCTTTCTTTGTGTTCCTCTTTTTTGCCTCCCTCCTCTTCCTCCTCCTCCTCTGTTCTTCCCTATGTTATTTATGCCTGCTTACATACTGTATCTATATACTCTTTCTTTTATTTCTGTCACTGTAATCTTTACCAGCAGTCTAGATGCCTTAACAATGCAAACCCATTCTTCATTCAATCATGTGTACAGTTTTTCTACCCTCACCACAATTGTCTGTTGCCACAGAGGAATTCATGAGAACTTGGGGACAAAGCACAAACCCACTCTGTTTGGTGGTAAAGCCAGACTAGAATACAAAGAGCCATAATTCAACAATCACACACACACCCCGATGTACTATAATACTGCAGCAATGGCACGCTTTGAAGGACAAGTCGGAGCGGCCTTTCTCAGCTGTGCTTCCTGCACGTTCGGAGAAACACTTTTTGTAGCAATTATGTAGCTTTTTTTTAATGATTTTGGCAGCATGATAGTGACATTTCTCATCAACCACAGGATCACAACAGTACGACAACACATGGCTGTTTTTATTGTAGTACAGAGGGGCGCACAGTGAAGACAAGCGCTGCCACAGCACAATTTTAATCTCTACACAGAGTCGTAGGTCTGACTCCAGTATCCGACAGTCAACCCAGCCCCCAGTCCTTCACCGTCTGTATTGGCCTTTGGACAATACAGCTTCATTTCAAGCTAAACAAGACTAAAAAGAACATGTGATGAACCACAAAAGGGAGCTCCTTGGCCCATCAGACATTTCTGTAGTCTTTTTTTTTTTCTTTTTTTTCGTGTCTGCCGTGTGTCTTCAAGCTGTTGCTGGACAGAGAATAGGGCTTTTTCTCTCTCTGCTTTTTCTTTTCTAGAGCCTGGTTTTGTTAAGGGGGTAGAAAGGACCGTTTTAACAGAGGCGCCTGCTGACAGACGAGTGTTTTTCAGGCACTTGTGTGCCTGTGCCGGTCTGGGCCAGGGCGGGAGGGGCCGCAGCATATCTGTTTCAAATGAACTACAGAGGTCTGTTGTCATACAATGGCATCTTTGTAAGCAAAAGTTCCATCCCAAATATGAGTATCAGTAATGGGTGACAAAGTTTTTGTATTTAGGTAACAAACAACAAAAAAAGAAGAAGATGCAAACCAAATAGCTGGTGTCTATTTTTTCCTCTGTTTGTCTTTGACTGCAAATACACTGAACAGCTCTATGATATAAGGGAAGAAAAAAAATCTACTGTATAGATTGTTATTGTTTTTGATGAAAATTGAGCTGTAAGATAACTTTTGGAATCTCACAATGTTGAATTAAAGTTACCTCTTGTCTGTGACTTTGTCAGGTGTCCTTTTATTTCAAAATATGCCTCATTCCTGATTTATTTTATGTTACCGGTTTTCTCTGGGCTTTTTTTTTTTTTCACTGAAAATGCCTTCTCCAATTAGCTGACAGGCAGCTGACTAAGAATAGAGGAGGAACGGCTACGGCTTATTCCACAGGTCAGAAACAGGCCTGCATCCTTTCCCCTGCTCGGCTCCTTTCTCTAATGAATCTAATTCATTAATGCATTACTGATGGCATGGTGAACATGGTTAGCCTGACAAGTTTCCTCCTAAACATATTAGTTAATGATGATTCCAAGGTTATTAATTGCAAAGGCACCAGCCCACCATAATTGAGTCATCATTTGCATACCCGGTCATCAGCAGAAAATTAATTTCTTTTTTATTTTTTGCATATCTAATTTAGAAGGCTGCGATTGGATTAGCTCGTGAAAACAGCGGATCCCAGGATTCTGCTGACCTCAAAGTATTCCAGGGTCTCCTCGGTAACTGGAGGCTTCCGCAACACCAAGGGGCGGTGAGGGGGGAAAGCAAGACGACCTGGAAGTACTGATGAAATAAGGGCTCGTAAACACTGCGTGCGCTTGTGTGTGTTTGCCTCCCTAATTGCCTAAAGGTTCATAACAACACACAGTCTTTTTTTCCTCTCTCTACTAAGTCTAATAACAGAGTTGATAGTTTGCTGACAAACAGTAAAGTGGGTGGCGGCGTGCATGATTTAGCAGTAAGAGGTGGGATATTGAATTATGGAGGTTGCACACTTAGTCCCGAGGAAAATGAATCCTGGAGCCTAATGTTTTTGATTAGCAAGCCGAGCACCAATGCCGCGTTGCACCGAGGGATTCGGCTTCCCCTAAATGTAGCTTGCAGTGCAGCACATATACACACCTACACACACTGAAACACGCACACACTCATAAATCATAAATACACATAGACAAAAGGTGAACGCATTTTGCTCTTTATTTCCAGCTGCTTTTCAGGCCCCAGATAGACTGGTCAGTGTGGGAGGAGGACAATAGGAGTGGGAGGCCGAGGGCAGCGTGGAGCCAGCAGACCTCAGCCCTCTGGAGACGTAACATTAAAGACGCTATTCCTGGAGAACTACTCCACTGGATAGAGCCGGCAGAGCCCTCGCACATCAAGAGAGGTGCTGTTCAGGAGCTTCTGTGCTACTAGTACCCTAATGAAATATATTAATGCACACATTCCTCGCTCTCCTACTCCACCTCCTTCTTTTTTCTCATTCTCCTCCCTGCATGGACACATGAAGGGAGGAAGAGCGGAGAGATGTATTTGAAAGAAAAACAGGAGTCCCCATGGGGATCTCGGATAAAGAAGAGGAAAGGAAAGAAATGGAAAGGAGAGAGGATGTGAGTGTGTGTGTAGGGGGATATTCAGAATGGAGGCAAGGCTTAGACAGCGAACAAAACACAAGGAGAGGAGGGATGAATATTAATAATATTCTGTGTTGGAAAATAGTCACAATGGACATCATTGAAAGACGCAGAGAGGCAACGGGAAGCGAGAGCCATCCCCGGCCTTACTTACTGAGCGTGTGCGCACCTTCCTGCATGCGCACGAACACGCCTGCCATATTTGAGCACACCTCGAACAAGTGTGTACTCACAGTCGGGTTTTGCGCGCCCGCTTGCGAGGGTGTGTGGTCGTTTCCCACAGTAATTATCCCGATGACTGTGGGTGTCTGTCTATGATCTGTGTGGTACCTGTCAGAGGGAGCCCAGCAGAGCCCGTGCTTTATATTCCCTGTAATTGCTGCTGCTAATTTACTGTGCGTTGGCCTAATGAGTAGGGAGGTGAGGGGCTGGGGTATGTAATGGATGTTAGAGAGATAGAGATAGAGAGATGGATTTCACCACTGGCGGCACACAGAGAGGGAAGAGGGGAGGAGGCCGGCGAACTGTGTGTGTTAAGCAAGCATGTAGAACACTTATCTTTATTGTTCTACTAAAATGAAAAAAAAGAAAAAAAAAGCAAAAAACCAAAACAAAAGATAAGCTATTTGCCCCTCCAACACCACCACCACCCTCCTCCTCCTGCTTTCCCTCTCCCTCTTTCTCCCCCCTCCAGCTGACAGTACAGTGGCGACTACAGCGAGCGCATTAGACGAGCTTTTTGTTATGTTGATTAATGATAAAAGCAAATCCATAAATAATATAGATTATTTATTCCATTTATTCACATGCTAATTAGAGCTAGAAACAGATACCTCAGAGAGATGGCCCTTTTTTTTTTGTACACCCCCCTCATCTGTTCCGGTGCAGTCAGATAGATAGACCAGCTGACATTCACCCACACGCATAGACAGTCACACGTTAATGTCATTCACACTTTGAAGCACCAATGGTATCTTGTGATGGGGACACGTCCACCCTTCATTTCTCCCTAATGAGGTCATGATAGAGGCCAGCGGTTTCGGCACGCCGCACACACCCCTCTGTTTTTCCAGGCGCACACATTCGGCGAGCGCTGGATTGACAGGGTCGTCTTTGATTGATGCACCGCGGTTCTTCCACATGTTCTACAGCTCACTCATTTAATTATGTTTCCTAAGCATCATTAAGTACCATTATATTCTATCATATTGTAATGAGAGAGGTGGCCAGTCACAGGACAAGCTAATTGGTGATTAATGTTGTGTATCAGTGAGAGACGAACGCAAGATTGGCCGTTTAATGACAAAACACTGTATTTAAGTGCTGAATGTGTAAAAAAACACAAACAGAGAGGGGAAATTAGAGAGAGTGTGATTGAAATCAAAACAGATATGGCCTCTTAGAGGTCTAATCTCTCACCTTTCCCTTCACACACACTCAAACACACACCTCCCTCCCTTCCCTCCTACCTTAAACACACACAAACTTCCTGCATTATTCTGAATTGTTCACCTCTTAGCTGCATTAAGGACACTTACTCAGGTAATGCTGGAGCCTGTCTCTGCAGACATAACTTACCTGCTCCTTGAGATTAACCGCTAACTCAGTATTGATGCACTGGCTGCATCACAGGTACACACACACACACACACACCCAGCACACAGATACAAACATCCTCATCTGGTATTGATACGCCGCGCGGCTGTAGGTGTTTCCATTTAAGGTCAGTCGATTGCCTTAAGTATGTAATGTTAGGAGGGGGGTCCGTAAACATGTCAAATTAGCGGTAATGAATGACCAGGCACTGGCAGGGGGAACTGTCAGGGTGCACGGCCAGGACAATACATTACCCTGAGTTATCCTAGTCTGTCCTCATTGTAACACACCCACAGTGACTGAGCAGACACGGGGTGTAAACTAGTGGGACCCATTCAGCGGTCACACACTCCACTTTAATGGTCCGTGTGGTTGATTGGTGCCCAGGAGATGAAAAAGACTCGAAACAAGAAGTAGACACGTCACCAGAGCACGGAAAGTTCAGGGTAAAATATTCTCAAAGCAAAGTTTAAAGATTGATGGACACAACCAGGAAGGTAGAAGGGGAAAAATGCATGAAAATAGATAGAGAGATAGATAGAGGACTAAGCTAGAGGGAGAGAAAACAAACTGTGGTATTTATTTTTTCTTCTCAGTGTTGAAACAGGAAAAGGACCTCTGGTTTAATAAACCATGAATCCTTTCACAGAGGGTTTGTATGTTATTCTTCGGAGGAACAGATACGTGAGGAGGAGAGGAGAGCGAAAGAGAAGCAGGGAGCAGCAGGGGGGGAAAAAGAGAAAAAAAAAGATGCTCTGCAGCCATATGAAATTTGCTCTCCCCACTTTACCAACACACACACTTATACATCCACTCTTCAGCCCACTTCCAGGCTGTATGTTAGTTTTGGGTAAGAAGTGTGGGATGAGGAGGGAGGGATACACATCCTTTCCCCCTCCTCCTCCTCGGACTGGAACTGAAGAAGCATAAATGAGAAGTAGAAGATATACTTTCCATCTGTAAACACTCAAATTCCTCTCTCTTCTTCCTCTCTGCATTGTGAAAACGACCTTCTAACATATCCTGTCCACACGGAAAATCATCTGTTCACCACAGGAAAGCGCTCGCATCAGTATGTGGCACATACGCACAACGAGACTGTCCACTTTAATTTCTGAGCTTGTCCCAACTATATGCACAGTACTGTGGCAATGGTGATAAATAAACATGTACACAAGCGTGAACCTACTGTTTCTGTATGTTGTCTCCTCGCCTCCCACACTCCTCTCCACGTCTTCTCTCTCTCTCTCCCTCCCCTTCCTGTAACAAAGGTTACATTGATCATGTTTCTAAAAGAGTTTCTGTATTTCCACATGGCCCAGCCTCTGATATGTTTTTCTTGGCAGGTCCGACTTCTACTTTTGTCATTCACTCAGCATATTTTAACAAATTAGAAACATTAGAAACCGGGATCGCGGCAATGTTTTGGTTTGGTTTCGAAACTCTTACAGTCCCCACAATTATATTTCAAAACACGGGCGAATTGTTTGACAGCCTGAGCGGAATAAAACCCCTAAAACAACTTATTCATTAGAAACACATGCTCTCGCAATTACAGCTTAGCATTATGTTAATGTGTGTTTGCACTGGTTCATTTGTTGTCGTGTGAAAGGCTACGTCGCCAGAGTGCGAGCTCGGGTTCGAATGTGTGCCTGCTTACACGCGCGTGCCCTCTTGCGCGATTGCGTGCCGCATGTGTGTGCGTGCGCGTGTTTAAGGGACAAAGGGACACAGTGCTCCACATAACAGCATTACAGATGGCTGTTGTGAGTGGTTGTGACAGTGAAAGCGAGTGAGTTCCCACTCCATACAGATGTACTCTGAGTGACCTTACAAACACAGTGGAACTAAAACAGGCCCCCTACCTCTCGCTCTCACTCTGGCACACACTGTCAATTCTCACTCAGCCCTTGCGGGGCACTAAAAGTTGTTTCCTGAGCCAGGAATACATCAAGGGCCAAGAATATATAAGCAGGGAGCAGGAGAGATGCATAGC